CAGAACTCAGGAAAGTCTATTTTTTAGAGTCTCATCTCTAGCTAAAATCTCCTTAACTCTAGTTCGGACAGATGGTGCAGAACCATGACCCGGATGAGACAAAAAGAACTGCCCGGGGGGGGGGGGGGGGGGCTGGGAGCTTGCATGCCTCTGTGGGGGTGCCATGGCCTCTGTACCTGTACCCCAGCGCATTCACCAGCCCAGAAGCTCCCAGATCCCCGTGGCGTAGGGATTCGCGTGGAGGTTTCACTACACAGGCAGGATTGGTTACATCACTGGCCATGCACAGTGGGACAGAATCTAGCCCCCGTCTCCTCCCCGGAGGTTCAGGGTACAGCGGGAAGTTCTAAGCTTCTAAGCACATGCTCCGTCTTCCTGGCACCAGCTCCGGTCCTAAAGCCCTCCAGGACACCCCCAAGTGTGCGGTGGCACTTTCACTGCACCCCCAAGTCGTCCTCCAGGGCCTGCATTGTAGTTGCAGCCCTCCCTCCCCGTCAGAGAAACACCCTGAAACAGAGGCACGGGCAGGGGTGCCACAGGGGCTTAGGGTCACGCTTCCACGGATTTGTGATTGCCTTTAGGTCAAGAACTTCAGTGACGTGCACCCTGACTACGGGGCCCGCATCCAGGCTCTTCTGGACAAGTACAATGCTGAGAAGCCTAAGGTGAGCCCACGGCAGCCCCCCACCCCCCGCGGCAGGGGATGGACGTGGTGGGTTAGGTCCGTCCGAGCTCGGTCTCTAGCTGGCCTTGTTCCATCCCTTGCAACTGTGAGAGCTCTTAAGCAGCTCTTCCGAATCTTGCTTGAACTACGAAGAACTCAACCTGCAGAAACACGCCCTGTCTGCATCGACACGTGGATGCCATAAGACGGTTTAGCCTAATGAATGAATTCTCAGTGAGGCTTCCCCTCTGGGCTATGAGTTAAAGCTAGCACACACGCCAGGTTGCCACTGCCTACGAGATAATTCGGCTGCCGCTCTTGTTCTCTTGAAACAGAACGCGATTCACACGTTTGTGCAGTCCGGGTCTCACCTGACGGCGAAGGAGAAGGCCAACCTGTGAGGCGGGGAGCTCCGGCCTGCAAAGCAAAGCCCGGCGTCCCCACGTGGGACCCACGCGTCGCGGGACGGAAGGTTCCCCTAGGTGCTAGATACGCAAATGCAAGCGAATGTCTTTGAGATGCTCACCCAGCTTTCCATAGCAACTAATGCAGCAATGATGTTTAATCCGATTTCCCTGGGGGAAAAATGGAGGTTGGGGCTTAACAATCACCTACAAGAAATGCAGATCTGCTTCTGGCCGTTGGTTGGATCATTCACTTAAAATGACGTAGCAGGAAGCTTTGTAGTTGGAAAGATGATTTCATTTGCTGGGAGAAGAATCTTGGTGAAATCAATGTTTACATATCACCTCCAGGCCTATTACAGGAAAATATGACTGTAGATTATACAAGAAGAAAAGATACAGGTGATCCACCCAGAAATTCTTATTTTTCTAACGTCCTCGCAGGAGAAACCCATTTAAAGTGTCAGCGTCTTCAGAAAATGACTCTGCAGCTTCGTGGCTTCATGTTTCTTCCTCTTGTAGCTGATGAGACTCATCTCTCTTTTTTTTTCCCTTCCACTGGAAATCACACTTACGCTCATCTGTCATTGATTTCACCACCCATGGGTTTGTAATTACTCACAGTTTTACAATAAAGTGATCTGTACCAAACAGTACAAGACGGGGCGTCTGATTTCTCTGGACTCTGGATGTAACCTGGGAAGCACCAGGAGACTCGTATTTGAATGTCCTCTGTTGCAGGTGCTTGTCCCTAAAAATGAGAATACCTACATGATGGGGACACCATGCTGGCTGTTTCAGCCTAAGGCACTGGCAAGAGAGCAGACGTACTGACTGCTCCGCTCTCCTGTCCACCAGCTCACTTAGCTACTTACTGCTAAGTATGAGTTTTTAGATGAAGGCTTAGGACCATTAGTTATTTTCTTCTGTTGTTTAAAAAATATGTTATTTATTTATTTGAAAGGCAGAGTTACAGAGAGAGGAAGAAACAGAGAGAGACAGAGACACACACACACAGAGAGAGAGAGAGATCTTTCATCTCTTGGTTCACTCTCCAAATGGCTGCAGTGTCTGGGGCTCTGCCAGACCAGAGCCAGGAGCCAGGAACTTCTAGATCTCCCACATGGGTGCAGGGGCCCAAGCACTTAGGCCATCTTCCACCGTTTTCCCAGGCCATAGCAGAGAGCTGGATCGGAAGTGGAGCAGCCGGGTCTTGAACCGGTGCCCATACAGAATGTCTTCATCACAGGTGGCAGCTTAATTTACTACACCACATAGTCCAACTTTTAAGAAACTGCCAACCCAGATACTGTACCTGCTATGGCAGAGTAGAGTAAGCCTCCGCCTGTGACGCCAGCATCCCATATAGGTGCCGGTTCATGTCCTGGCTGCTCCTCTTCTGATCCAGTTTCTGCTATGGTCTGGGAGGCAGTAGAAGATGGCCCAAATGCTTGGGCCCCTGCACCCATGTGGCAGACCCAGAGAAAGCTCCTGGCTCCTGGCTTCGGACTGGCTTTCCTCCAGCCATTGCGGCCATTTTGGGAGTGAACCAGCAGATTGGAAGGTCTTTTTCTCTGTCTCTTCCTTTCTCTGTCAGATGGCCACGTGTAAACCAGGAGGTCGACACTTCCCAGTCACTGATCTGTCCTGGGCTTTCCAGCCTTCAGAAATGGGAGATGTGTGTGTTGTTTAAGCCACCAGACTACGGTCGAATTACAGCACGCTGAGTTAAGTAAGATAGCAAGTGTGCATCAGTGGATGAGTGAGTAAACAATTGTATATCCATACAATAGTATAATATTCTACCATAAAAAAGAATTAGACTCTGACACATGCCATGACATGGGTGAATCTTTAAGGCATTCTTGATAATAGTAACAGGTAGACACAAGAGGAAAATGTTGTATGACTTCACTTAGTGAGCTACCTAGGCTAGTCCAATTCATAGAGACATGCACCCAACATAAGTTATATCCAAATACATAAAGCAAATAGGTTTAGATCTAAAGGGAGAGATAGACTCCAATACAATAATCGTGGGCGACTTGACATCCCACTGCCATCAATGAAGTGATCCTCCAGACAGAAAATTCAACAAAGGCACATGAGATTAAACCATAGTTTAAACCATACCATAGATTAAGCCATACCAAAAGGATCTATCAGATATTTACAGAACATTTTATGTAATAGCTTTAGAATACATATTCTTCTCATCAGCACATAGAACATTTTCTAGGATAGACCATATATTAGGCCACAAATCAAATCTCAGTAAATTAAAAAAAAAAAGGAAATCATACCATGAAGCTTCTCAGAACACACAGAATAAAAACAGAAATCAACAAGAAGAGTAACAGAAAATTTACAAATACATGGAAATTGAACAATATGTTTCTCAGTGACCAAGGGATCATTGAAGAAATTAAAAAGGAAATTAAAAAATTTCTTGAAACAAAGCAAAAACACAACCTATCAAAATCTGTGGGATTCAGCAAAAACAGTATTAAGAGGGAAGTTTATAATAATAAGTGCATACACTAAAAATAGACAAATAATACATATTCTCCCTCCTATGTGAGAGCTAACCAGCACCACCACCAAGAAAAAAAATACATTAATTGAACACAGAATGGTGATTACTCTGGGCTGGGAGGCCTGGGAAAGATAGAATTTAGATTAAAAAAAAGTAGGGGAAGCTGAGAGTGGTTCACTAATTGTGACAAATATGCTAATATGAGATGTTAATAACAGCACAAGCTTGGTGTGGGATATATGGGAACTCTGTATTACTTTTCAATTCTTGTTTCGGAAATGTAAATCTATTCTGAAATAGAAAACTCATCCAGATTCAGAGACAGTAGAATAGTGGTCACCAGGGGCTGGGGGAAGGGAGGAATGAGTCAGGACTTGTTGTTCAGTGGGTCCAGAGGTTCAGTGTGGGAAGATGGAAACGTTCTGGATATGGACCGTGGTGATAGTTTCACAACAATGTGAATCCACTTAATGACACTTAGAAGTGATGGAAATGGTGAACTTTATGTATATTTTGCCACAATCAAAAGAATCCAGTGGCCCAATCTTTGTGTTTATCTCAAGTAGCCTCTTAGGGCAGTGTTTGACACAGTTGATCATTTGCAACTTGTTTTTAAAAAAAAGCTTTGTTGTAATATCATTCACATGCCAGCAGTTCACCCATTTTTTTTTTTATTTGACAAGTAGAGTTATAGACAGTGAGAGAGAGAGAGAGACAGAGAGAAAGGTCTTCCTTCCATTGGTTCACTCCCCAAAAGGCTGCCACGGCTGGCGCTGCGCTGATCTGAAGCCAAGAGCCACGTGCTTCTTCCTGGTCTCCCATGTAGGTGCAGGGGCCCAAGCACTCGGGCCATCCTCCATTGCCCTCCCGAACCACAGCAGAGAGCTGGACTGGAAGAGGAGCAACCGGGACTAGAACCGGTGCCCATATGGGATGCTGGCACCGCAGGCAGAGGATTAACCAAGTGAGCCACGGCGCTGGCCCAGTAGTTTACCCATTTAAAGTGTCAGTGGTTTTTCGTATATTCATGGAATTGTGCAACTCTCAGGGTAATCAGTTTTCAAGCATGTTTATCACCTCCAAAAGGAAAGTGGTATCTAATGACAGCTACTCTTTGTTCCCACTTTAATTGTCATGAATCTCTCTTCTGGCCATAGAGTTGCCTGCTCTGCACATATCACTTAAATGGCATCTACAACCTGTGGTCTTTTGTGGTTGGCTTCTTTCACTTAACAAAATTCTCAAGATTCTCACATGCTGAGGCATGGATCAGTGCTTCATTCCTGCCAACTGACAGATAACACAAGGGGTCTTCATAAAGTTCATGTGAACATGTGCTATGAAAAAACTATACATATTTTTCTAGGCCTACTGTGCTGAATTGAACACTACAGAGACAGCTCAATGTGTTAAATATTTTATTCACATTGTTTACAAACTATCCATCTGGAAAACACATGAATCCAAAAATGGATTATTTTACAGTAATTCACATTCTTTAAAATGAGTTAGTTTTGAAGTTGAATGCTAGGCACAGAGGTCTTCAGCCTGTGTGTGGTTCAGTGCCTTGTCACCTGTCAATTCCAGCTCTGGTAGAAGTCCTAGGGGCGGCCACCTAGTGGTAGGTTGGTAATGACTTACACGCTAGTGACTGATGAGAAAATGTCAGTGCAGACTTTAACCCGTGAACATTTATTGTTGTAAATTCACCGTCACTATTTTTGTTAAGAAAATATATGTTTTAGAGCTGGAGTACACATCAGGTAGGAAGACAAAAGAAAAGAGACTCACAAGAGAATTGGCCATGACAGTTTTTGGGACATTTTCAGTTGTAATAAAGATTTAATGTCTTGACCACAGACAGAATCAATGAGTCAGGATTTTATCGTATTGACAGCTTGAATCATGGAAACAGCAGTGATTTGGAGATTGATACAAGTATCTGTTGACTAATGCTGCGTATCTGATGCCAGCCATCAGATATGGGAGAAAAGGGGACACAAACTTAGCTGAACTTCACATGGCTAACTTTAGATGTATGATTCTGGAAGGATCGCCATGGGAGCTTTGCTGGGTGGTCAAAATGATGGTCTGGGTAAGAAACTGTTCTTAACCTAAGCAAAATCCAATTATGTGCAGCTTGATGGCTTAGCCCTGTCACTAATTCAGAAACCTTTCCATGCAGTTTGACTGTTGTGATTTAAAGTAAGTACCTAATGACCACACACTAGTCACTTTCCCCTTTTGTGAAGTGCCACAGTAAACTAACTGGAAGCTTTTCAGTCTTTGGAATGGGGGTCTTGAATGTGCCTCCAGTGGCAGGGTTGGCTGGGTGTCTCTGAGTGGCATCAATGGCATTGGCTATTGTGGTTCTGGAACTCTTGATTAGGGGGATAATGTTTGATCAAGGGACCACTAAAGATCATCCCCACCTCCCCTTGGGGTGGGACGAAACCGATTTCATAAGGACTGCTGCCATTACCCAAGTGGACAACAACTCAGAACCCAAATATAAGCTGAGCTGTAGAGAAGTTTTATCAGGATGTTTGCAGGTTTTTAAAAAAAGAGACTTTCAAATGTCTGTTGCAATGTGATTGTTTTAAAAGACAAATCCTTCAGAGGAGCCTGGTGCCTGGAGCTGGTCATAGCTTGTCTTCCTGCCACCCGTGTGCGTTTTTTCCAAATTTGTACACTAACCTTCGGTCGACCCGCTCCAAAATGCCCGTTTTGTAGTAGTACCTGTGAGAGCAAGCACGAGAGAATTTTGTTGGCACCCAGGAAAACAAGAACACATAAACACCGGCTCCTCCTGCCTCTCAAGTGGCCAGGCTGGTGTCTGGTTACCCTGGTGTTTTCACACCCTGTTATCAAGTTACACGTAAACCTTTCCCAGACAGCTTGAAGACTGAGCCTCACCACATGAAAAGCGTGTGTGTGTGTGTGTGAGAGAGAGAGAGAGAGAGAGAGAGAGGTAGCCTGGACTCAGAGTGATCCCTGGCGGAACACTGGCAAGAATGGACAGTGCGACACGTCAGTTTACACGCCATAATCCAGCCTGTAGCTAAGAACCCAGGGTTGGTCTCATGACCCTTCCCTTCCCAGGTTAGGGAAGAGCAGCCTGATTTTCTATGGCCAGCCCTGTAACGTGCTCCCTCTGGTGGTTCCTGGTGTCCTGTGCTGGTTACGTACCTCAGCGCTCTGCTCAGCTTCTCATACGTCATCCTGTCGTTTTTCTTCCTCTGTCCCCACATCTTTGCCAGGGCTTCCGATTTAACCACACGAAAAATCCCTTGGTCCCTGTCTTCCCACTCCAGAATGCCACAGTTTTCTTCAGGAGATAGAAGCAGGTCGCGCACAAATTCCCACAGGTGAGAACTTTGGAGGCCTTTGGAGAAAGGGAAAAAGAGAGGCACTGAATTTCAAAAAGATGTCTACAGCTTTCGAATCACCCCATGCGTACGGCTGTGTAGTGGAGGCTGTTTCCCATGGTTTTGTGCCTGAGTGCTCCCCTGAGAACCAGCCTGTGAAAAATGCTCATCTTCCACACGCAGAGACACCAAGTGGACGTGGACCACAGATGCTCCTTGCCCAGTGGATCAGGGCTGGATTTTTATGGGGTGAAGGAGATGACAGGCGAATAGTCCTCTCATTCTCTCTCACAGGTGGTGGGATTGTAAGAAGAGCCCATACCTACAACCGTCTGGGTGGACCAATCCCACAGTTTTATTTTCTGTGCCTAACTGGCATTTCTCTTGTTCCCTTACAGTCTGGTTCAGACTGGGTCAGGGTGCGACTTCCTGGGCCCCCGAACTCCTCTTCTGAGCTCTGCGGCTATCTTGTGACCTCAACTGCCACAGGGGATGCCAGGAGTGTCGAAGTCTTAGGATGGGTTCCAGGGTTTAATGAGCTCACACGCCTAGCATGGAGAGATGGCCTCCCTCACACAAACTGGTGCAAGTGCAAGCTGGACTCCATGCTGAGCAGATCTCTGTGCTGGGAGAGGCTCACACAGTTGCCAGCTCCTGAGCTGGGCATTTGGCCGAGCAGTTGAGACACCAGCTGGGATGCCTGCATCCCACACTGCAGTGCGTGGGCTCCACCGCCAGCTCCAGCTCAGGTCTCTGGCTTCCTGCAGGTGTGCACCCTAGGGAGGCAGCAGGGGAAGGCTTAAGTAGTTGGGTCCCTGCCACCCTCATGGGAAACCTGGGTGGAGTTCCTGGCTCCCAGCTTCAGCCATCCCAGCCCTGTGGGCATTCAGGGAGTGAACAAGTGGAGGGGAGCTCTGAATGTCTCATGTCTCAAATAAATAAAAACAAATTTGTAAAAAATGAATTGCCGATGCCTGGTGTTTCCCCTGTTCTTCCCTGAGTACTTCTGTGAGAAGGACCCACAAGAGGGCCAGGAAAAATAAAAGCTTACTTAGAAATTCAATGTCGTTAAAAAATTTCTGATTTTGGTGACATGTACAAAAGCAAGCATTAGTGTCATTGCTGCCTTCTTTAGGAAAAAACTTTTGTCACCCAAACATTCAGTTTCCAAGGTGACCGAAATTGGTCACTTGGTCTTACGGATGGTTTCACATCATTAGCAATGAAAAGTGGGGGCCAGTACTGTGGCTTGGTGGATTAAGCCGCCACCTGCAGTGCCAGCATCCCACATGAATGCTGGTTCAAGCCCTGGCTGCTCTGCTTCTGATCCAGCTCCCTGCTAATGCATCTGGAAAGACTGCAGAAGATGGCCCAAGTGCTTGGGGCCCTGCACCCACGTAGAAGATCTGAATGGAGTTTCAGGCTCCTGGCTTGGCCTGGCCCAGCCTCGGCTGTTGTGACCATCTGAGGAGTGAACCAGAGGATGGAAGATTCTCTCCCTCTCCATCTCCCTCTCCCTCTTCCCCTGTCTGTAACTCCTCCTTTCTAATCACCACATAAATCTTTTTTTAAAAAACAAAACATGGTGCCTGCACTTACTTGTTCGACTATGACTGTGACAGTCTTGACTTTTGATGCCACTGGTTTTCAAGCAGTTGGAGTCAGCATCTGAAACAGAGTGTTCACAGCAGTGGCCAGGAGGGCAGAGGCCACACAGACCTCCCGGGGGGCCACGATGAGCATGTGTTTGTTGACTGTGATGGAAGCTGCTGGATCAGGAACACTGAGAGTGGTTAGCACGAGGGAGGTTTGGGTTCAGTCCTGGGGACTCACTGTGTGCCCTGCTCTGAGCAAATGCCACATACACAGCCCCTGCTCATGGGGAATCTAAGGACAGATGGGCCAGGTAGACAGACACATGTGCCATGGTTCTCAGTGCCATGAAGGAAGCCAGAAAGGGGATGGAGAAGAGGGGGTGGGGTGGGGAGTACACACCTCATGAGCATGCGCCACACAAAAATGAGAGATGAGTAGGAATTGGCGTGAGGTGGTGGAGAAGAGATCTCAGGTGTACAAAGCCAAACGCGGGGACAGGGCCCGTGAGGCAGGTATGCCGCACCCCCGGAGAGAGCCTGAGGGATGACAGCCGGAAGCAGGTGGCCAGCAGCTCGCCCTGGGCCTTCCTTGGGAGCCGTGGCAAGGGGACCCCATGCGGAGGAGCGCCCCCTGGCGGGTGTGCGGAGAGCAGACTGGGAGGGGACACCAGCAAAGAGAAAGGCGCTAATGTAGAGGAGATGAAGCAGTAATGCGGAGCCAGGCATTCACAGAGCACGGAGTTAAACGACAGCTCACGCTCTGAAGTGACAATCCACGATACCCGGACGAGCACTGTCCTGAAGTAGCACGTGATTTACAAACTGCTGGTCCTGGGTCTGCCCCTCTCTGAGCACTCTGCGCTCTTTGCTCCGGCCACACGGGCCTGGCGGCTCTTCCTGAAACATGCAGGCACTTTGCCCCTCAGGGCCTTGGCAGTCGCTGTGTGCCCAGAACGTCATCCTTGGATATCTGTGGGCTCATGCCCTCACCTCTCTCTTGGCTCAGAAACCTCTCAAGTGGGGGGCCTTCTCTGACTCCCCAGCTTGTCATGGCACAAGTCACCCCTACCCAGAATTCCACATCCACTTCCCTTATCGCCTTGGAGCATATCTTACAATGTACTTAGGTTTGTCATTCACCGTCTATGTCCACTAGGGGGCAGGGGTTTGCGGTTTCACTTGTATCCCCCAGCTCCGTGCTGGTATGGACTAGGTGCTGAGTATCACCGAGTCTCCAACATCCCATAGCATGCTAGCCATACCTACTGTGTGTCTGCCATGAGCTCCGTGAGTACTGAGTGGAGGACCAGGAGTGTTGTCAAGGGAAGGAACGGTATCCTGTGCATAAGCGGCTGCTCGGGGTGGCCTGTCTCAGTGCCGTGTGGCTGTGTGCCTTGTCACTCTCGGCAGAACGTCCTGTGTGTCTGCTGTTTCCCACAGGACGCAGCCTTCCGTGTTGGTGCAGCCATTCACAAACTGACCGCTGCCCAGACCTGCAGCCTTACCCCGCTCTGCTTCCCGGCTTCTTCCCTTCTCTTCCATCACAAGCTCCCACTAGGGCTTGGCTTTCCCCTGTCTCAGGACCTTTATCCAGGCTCCCAACACCCCCATCCCACCCCCCTTGTACCCAAATGATTTCTACTCTCACAAGATCTCTCTCCGGGAGCCTTCTCTAAACTCACCGCCTTCTGGATCCCATGGCACCTGCGTTCTTGGTATCCCCACGCTGTCACCCTCGGCCGGTGAAACGCACCTGCTGCTTTTGCTCCTCTCTTAACAGTTGGTATTTGTGGAGCACCCAGCCAATCCCACGTGCTTGTTGAGTGCTTCACACACAGCACCTCATTTAGCCCTTGCAAAGCCCCCTGCGATCTTACTATAACTTTCATTGTATTGAGGAGGAGTTTGAAACCCACAGGGTTTGAAGACTCTTATCCAGATCCTGGAGCCACAGCTTGAACTCAGCGCTTCCATTCCCACGCCAGCGCTCACAGCTACTCCATCATGTCTTCATAGTAGGCACTCAGTGGGCACTGGATGACGAATGCCCAGCCAAGGTTTGCTACGTGTTTGCTCCTGGCAATGCTCGCTCCCTCTCACCACCCCTCGGGTGCGCATTCATTACCACCCCCAGATGTGTCTGTGGTCTTGATTAGATCTTATTAGGAGGGAGAAAAGAAATGAAGTCACAGAGATAAGCAAAGGCGAGTCATTAACCATGAACAGACAGAGGATTCTCCCTGAAATGCCAAAATGGAGAGGATGGGGGCGGGGGGTGGGGGGGTAGTCACCCTTTTTCATTTGTGTTATTTCTCTTCTGTGTTCTAGGCAAAGGATATTTAGCTGATAAGGATGGAGACAGTACAGATCAGCACAGGGCAGGGCTACAGGGGCTTAGGGCGATGCCAGTTTCTCCCTGGGGTCTTGCCAAGAGAGTCTTGTTCTAGTAGTTCCTAATTCTGGGGTGGTGGCTCTACGGGGACCCACAGGTTATGAGATTCAAGTCCTGGCTTGGCTGGTGGCGGCAGTGGTGGCAGGGGTAGAGGGGTCAAAATCGCTACTTCAATGTCCATGTCCACCGAGATTGGCTGGTAGGTCTTTAGCAGCACCCCGAGCCCACTCCATTTCTCTACAGGTGCCACTTGTGCTTCCGGGTGCAGCTCTCCCTGTCCCACGACTGTTTGTCCGTGTCCCTGCAACTGGCTGTGCCTGGTGCAGGACAAGTGGAGGCAAGGACTGGGTCCTCTTCTGCCCCTGCGGTTTGGCAAGGTCCGATTGGCTTTGAGACAGGAAACTTTTCAAATGTGACCGAAAGGTCTATTCTCAGAGGTTGATTGAAACCACAGTACACTGTCCTCCAGCAACTGGGTGGGGGTGGGTGGGACTGAAGGTCAAGCTCATCACATCCCCAGGACACCAGTGCTGAAGCCATAGAGCAGCTCATGCCAGGACGGTGCAGAGATGCCCTGGGTCCCGGGAGCAGGGAGGTTCCTGCAGCAAATCCGAGGCTGTAGACTTTGTTCTTGGGTTTTGTGGACCCCCCCCCACCATCCCAGCCACTGGCATTGCTGGAGTGGGGTGGGGGACTGGGTTGCTTCACTTTGGCGGGATCTGACGGTTTCATTGCTTCTTAGGCCTGTGTACCTCCAGTGGGGACTTACTTGAAAATCATGTTGTTGTCTGAATCATTATCAAGCTAGGCCCACACCTAGAGGGGCCACTGGGCCTTGGTTCTCTACCGAGTCAGAAGCAGAATGAATAGAAAGTTCTGGGCACATGTAATGTGTGCAAGTGGGCATGCACCTGTGCCTATGTGTACAGCATGGTGTCGAAGGGCCTGGGCTTTGAGAGAAGGAGATGCATTTACTGCACTGCCCATTTGCTCACTGGAGTTGTAATGAAGATGAAACCAGTTAACGCCCTTGGGACCCCTGGCATGACAGCACGCCTGGCACAGTAAGTGCTTCCTAAATGGTGATGTCAGCTGTCAGCATTCGTGGAAGACCCAGTGGGAACACGCAGAGAACCCCAGGATGCCACTCCGTCCTCACTGGCCGCAACGTGAGCTCTGCACAGCACATCAACGTTGAGAGGTGGCCTCTCATTCCTGAGTCCTGGGCGTCTGAGACTGCGAGACATCATCTGGGCCCTGGGCACGGGGGCCATGTAGTCTGGATTTTCTACACTGGATTCTAGACTCAGCTGCCAGTGTTCACAACCACCCTGGTGCTCATCAGACGATACATTGGGTTCTATTTTGGGAAATCATGGTGATCCAGGCTGAGAGAAAGCCAAAGGCAGACCCCGGGTGCCTGGGAGAGGGTGTGGCATCCCTGCTGTGCCTGCTAAGGCTGGAATATGGTGGAGCTGCTGGGAGGGACTCCTTCACCTTGAGTCCAGTCCAGCAGACTGGGCGGAGCCTGACGCAGCTGCCACGGTAGAAGGTTTGTCTCCTTGAGTGTGCACTCCAGAGATGCTGGCGCAGGGCCCTCCTCCCACCAACTCTGCTTCTGGAAACTTCTCCCCATGGCTTCCTGCTCACTGGGCCTCAGTGTCCTCAGCAGGAGACTCCTGGCTAGAGTCAGACAGAGCAGCTAAGCCATCTTCCTAACACGTAGCCCAGAGCTTTGCATCTCCCTGCACGCAGCCTTCAGAGGCTTCCTGTCTCCTTCGAATGAAACCTACCCCTCTGCTGCCCCCGGGTGTGCCCTGCCTGCACTGGCCCCCGGGCCCTCTCCCCGAGCCCTTCTGCTCATGCTGCCTGTGTTTTCTTTTCCTTTTTTTTTTTTTTTTTTTTGACAGGCAGAGTTAGACAGTGAGAGAGAGAGAGACAGAGAGAAAGGTCTTCCTTCCGTTGGTTCACCCCCCAAATGGCCGCCACGGCAGGTGCGCTGCACTGATCCGAAGCCAGGAGCCAGGTACTTATCCTGGTCTCCCATGGGGTGCAGGGCCCAAGGACCTGGGCCATCCTCCACTGCACTCCTGGGCCACAGCAGAGAGCTGGCCTGGAAGAGGAGCGATCGGGACAGAATCCGGCGCCCTGACCGGGACTAGAACCTGGTGTGCCGGCGCCGCAGGCGGAGGGTTAGCTTAGTGAGCAGTGGCGCCGGCCTGCCTGTGTTTTCCCAATGCTGTCTGAGAGGGCTTTCTGTCACGGTGGACATCTGGGCAGCCCCATTGGGGGTCTCCAGGCACCTGAGCTGCTGAGCACCTGCAGTGCGGCCACTGTGACTGAGAAGCTAAAGCTGAATGTTATTTATTTGAATGCGTGTAAGTGAACGCAGGCGTTGCTGTGTTGGATGACCTAATGCTGCTCCCACCCTCTGACCGCAAGCACTCCAAGATGGTTCCTGCCTTGGGGTCTTGGTGCTGACTGTTCACTGTCTGGACCTTCTCTTTTCCTGGCTAACTTCTGCTCCTCCCTTGGGCCTAATTTAAATAACTCTTCCTCCAAAAGGTCTCAGTTGATTTGTAATCGCTGGGCTGGTGCTGTGGCGTAGCGTGTAAAGTCGCTGCCTGCAGTGCCAGCTTCCCACATGGGTGCCGGTTTGAGTCCCAGCTGCTCCACTTCCAAACCAGCTCTCTGCTATGGCCTGGGAGGGCAGTAGAAGATGGCCCAAGTCCTTGGGGCCCTACACCTGCATGGGAAACCCAGTAGAAGCTCCAGGCTCCTTGCTTTGGATAGGCATAGATCCGGCTGTTGTGGCCATCTGGGGAGCGAACCAGCTGATGGAAGACCTCTCTCTCTCTGCCTCTGCCTCTCTGTAACTTTGCCTTTCAAATAAAATAAATAAAACTTAAAAAAAGAAATATGATTGTTTGTGCACTACACACAAAGCACCCTATACTGTCCCTTTATAATATCATTATGATTAGTAGTTACCTACTTATTATGGAGATTGTTTGTTTAATGTCTCCCTCCCTCCCTTGTTCCAACGATGTGTCATCACTGTGGTCACAGTGCCCATCTCTGGGCCTGGAACATAGTAGGTGTTCCATATTTGTTGAATGAATGGATCAAAGAATGAATGAATGAAAAGAGGAAGAAAAAAATGGATGATGAGACTCCTGGGGTTTAGGGCTTCGGAGTTAGACACACTTGGGTTGTCTTCCACCTTCTAACTGTGTCACCTTTAATCTCTAAGCTTTAGTTCTTATTCTGATTATTAAAAAAAAAAGGGGGCTATGGTACTAGTGCTTGTCTTATAGGCTTGGTTAATGGGAAGATAACCCAAGACAATGTCTATACAGATTTTCGGACAAGGCCTGGCTTACAGCAGGCATACAATAAATGCTGCCTGGCGCTTACTGCTTTCAACATTGTCATCATCATCACTTTACTCTAACTGTGGCTAATTGTATATTCAGGTCACCCTTCCCAAGAACTTATCGAAAGACTTTCTCTTCCTAGTCCGTCATCTTCCTTTTGCTGTGATCAATCTCAGTGATTCCCTTTAGAGGTGGAGACTCGGTCACCCAGCGCCAGGGCTGATCAAGCCAAACTCATCCTGCTCGGGGAGCAGAGCACACGGCTGCCTGGGGCGCAAGCCTCTAGACCCAGACACAGCGATGGCCCCTCGCTTCAGTGGGCTCACTGCTTCCAGGACTTTGCCTGGACTGGGCCGGGGAGTAAACGCTGGGAGTCACAGCCCCCAGATGGCTGCAGGTGATTCAGACGCAGCGTGGACAGTGGGGTAGTGCCCTCATCGGCCTTGAACGTGAGACACCTTGTGGAATGCAGAGCTGCTTGCGGGAGGGCAGCCGAGGTCAACGGGCCGAGCACACCTGCTTTAAGGCCACAACCTGTAGTTGGCTATTCCTAGTATAAAGCTCCCAAAACAAAACAAAACAAAAATTTACAAAAAAAAACCTGTTGTTAGCCAGGAGCCAAATTACCTGAATCCTCAGTGGTGTGGCTGGGACTTGAAGGAGAGAAGAAAAGTAAACCCTAAGAAGCCGACCCTCTGTGTCTGCCTGTCTGCCTGTCTCCCATTGGTCAGAGAATCCCCACTGCCCTACCACGGCTTTGCAGGTGACCGAGCTGAAGTCTGTGGATGGGATGAACACACCTCCTGGCCCCCAGGGCCAGGGCCTCTGCTTGGGAACCGACAGCTAACGGCAATGCTTATCGTCATCATCTCTAAAAGACCAAAGCTCACAGCTTCCCTTTCTTGAGCCTCCCCTTGCACAAGGGAAGCTGGAAGGGGAAGCCTTCCGACAAGGCCACTGAGATCCTCGGGCAGCTTGTAATTCTGAACTTGACCTCCGTGGTGAGCTCAGATTCCTCTCAGATAGTGCCAAGGACAAGGCCTCTCATGGGTGACCATTATTAGTCCTACGGCTCATGGACACAGGTTTGTGGGGCGGGGGCACTGTGTGTGCACTGTTTCTGAAAGTTCCCACACCCCAGTTAAGGGTCAGACCATTTTATCAATAAGGAGAGACTGAAGCTTGGGGAGGCTAGGGAGCCCACAGACCTGAGCTGCGGCCCCATGGCCCCACTCCATGCACTGTCTTCTCTCCACAGTCCCCACACCTGGGCTGCTTTCAGTTCATCCACCTTCTAATGTGGCGCCCATGTACCCCCGATAGCAGCCTTGACCCAGCCTGGGACAGCAGGGCTTGCTTACTTACAATCTTTGATGGTGGCCTTGGTCTCTTCAGTGTCATTGAAAAAGGAGTAACCTGGGAAGGACAAAGACATTCACTAAGCACAATCCTGCAGCAAATACCTACTGAGCCACATGGCTCCCTGGGCTCTAGAGCTCCCCCTAGCGCTTCTTGTCGAAACTGCCATCACGTTCTGTGTCCTAGTCTGCCTGAGCCCTCATCTATGAAAAGCACGAAGCCTACACAAGATAATCCCCTGTGATGGAAGCTGTTGTCCACTTAGAGAACCAAAGGCAGAGCTAATAACAATGATTCCGAGGTAACAGGTGCAAACCATGTGACCTGGGCTAAGCAGGACAGTGTGAATTTGGTCATTAGACATATATACAGGGACCTCCTTGAGGAATCTACATAACGGCTGAATCGCAGAATAGAGCAGGCTGGTGGAATAGATTGTTTACTGCTCAGCACCAAACCCTCTTTGCTTCGAGAGTGCCTGAAATCCCACCACTGAAGGTGGTGTGGGGACTCCAGGGGTGCCTTAGAATAAGAGGCAGCCATGGCCTACTAAAAAACTATTGGCCTTTAGCTTACTCGTTTTGCACAGAGCCTTGAAGTCATGGGACCAGGGACAGTTTTTTTTTTCTTCCCAACTGCCAAGGAAGGGGGCTGCCCATACCAGAGGCTGCTCCGGACCTGCACACAAACGTGGTTGACTTGACCTTTGACCAAGCTGGCAGCACCAAGCTGCTTCCTCCCCTCGGCCCTGGGGTCCTTGTGCATGCCTGTTCCCTTGCGAGGCTCCTTAATGGAGCCCTGAGTTCCTCCTGCCAGAGCCGCGGTGGTGCTGTGCTCAGACTTGTTCCGGCTCAGGGAGTGCTCGCTCTGAGCGCAGGCCACTGCCCCCAGCTCTGGGTAGGTCGCTGTCTCTGATGATAATCAAGTGAGCAGAGACTGCATGACAATGGGCAGCAAGTCTGTCTGTCCGTTCTTTTCCCCCAGTGAGCTCTGGCTCCTAGGGCACAGGCCAAGGAGTGCCCGGGGCCAGCGTTCCTAGCTTTCCCATCCCCAGGAACTCCTGGTGAGGGAGGATTAAGGGGGGAGGGGATATCAAGGAATCACAGACCGGAAATTGTTTGTGGTTTTTCCGCCCACCCAGGAATCCCTGCCACAGCACCCCGTCAGCAGGGGCTGTGAGGCTGCGTGGCAACCTCCAGTGGCAGGGAGCTGCCTCCCCACTGCATCTTCCCACGTGCACTTCCTAGAAGGAGGTGCCGGCGTTTAGAAAGAACTTTTCTAAAACTGAGCTGAGCTGTGTTTCCCGTAGTTTTTAAAATTTCTGCCTCTTGGTTAGACCGGTTGAGCATTGCTAACCCCAAAACTCAACATCTGAAATGCTCCAAAATTTGAAACTTTTTGAATGCCAACATGGGAAATTCCACACTCGACCTCATGTGACAAGGATGCGGCCTAAAATTACCTTCAGGCTACGTGTGTAAGGTGTGCTTATATACGGAACGTGAATGAATCTCACCTTAGGCTTGGTCCTACCCCCAACATAGCTCCCCACGTACTCTTCCCTATGCATTTAAAATGATTGTTTTTGCATCAAAATAATCTTAGCATTTAATGTCATTTCCATGAACTTCCTGAAGTTCCTTGCTATATGTAAATATTGCACAATCTGGAAAAATCTGAAGTCCCAAACGCTTCTGGGTCCCAAGCACTTCAGATAAGGGACACTCAACCTGCGTTAAGGACACAAACCAGCGGCGGTGCCTGTGCGTGCATCGTCTTCTGCCGTGTTAGAGAACACGTGGTGCCGTGGACAGGGGATGTAGTGGAGGTTCAGGCAGCTTAAGCCACTTATTTCCACGGCTTCACTTTGTATTGACGTCCTGTGAATTTCTGTGAATTCCTGTGTGACCCTGGAGAAGCCACTTAACCAGTCAGGGCCTCAGTCCCTTTACCTGGGCCTCTGGGACACGGAATTACAGATGCTCACAAACCTTTCCGGTTGGAAACAAAGATGCCCCACCTTCTGTTCGCAAAGGGTGTGCGTGGTGTGTGTATGTGTGTGCTCGCGCCCGCGAGGGCTCCTGGCGCCACCTCCTGGCCGGGAGGAAGGTGACACCGCGAACGTGCCAGTGAATTGGAGTCAGGAATAGGGAAGAGAAAGGGGCACTTCACTTTCCCCTCCTCTTGCCGAATTAGAGGGGAAGCAGAAACCTCTTTTGTCCACCCCTTGCGGATTCAAATCTTAACAAACATTCTGCGTTATTCTGTTATCAGCCTGGCTCAGGGGTTGTTAGCGTCCATTTTCCTTGTAACTCGTTTTCTTGACTGTATCTACACTCTCCAGTTCTAGCAGAGGGCTGAGCGCCAGTGGTTCCCAGGAGGAGCCTGCCGGGAGCGGGAGCGGGAGCGGGGTGGGGGTCTCGGGGCCCGCCCCGCCCCCCGCCCCGCCCCCCGCCGCCCACCTTGGGTGCGGATGTTCTGCAGGATGAAGTACAGGTACTCCCCGCAGACGCCGGCCGCCTCCACGAACTCCTCCTGCGTCATGCTGCACAGCTGCAGCCCGCTGATGTTGAAGTGGCAGAAGGAGATGCAGTTGGCGTCCAGCTTGTACTGATCGCAGCAGAACTGCAGCCATTCCCACACGTGGCGCTTGGTCCAGTACTCGGGGTGCACCGAGGTCCAATAGGAGTCGCAGGCTGCCCCGGGAGAGAGAGAGAGCAGTAAGGGACGGCCCCCCCGCCAGGGTCCCCCCAGCAAAGGAACCCCTGTTCTGTCAGCACACGAGTTGAAAGCCTTGGGGAGTTCTGCCAGGCCCACGCCCCCTTCTACTCTGGGTCCCTTGCACGGTCCTTCCGGCTCCGAGGGGGAAAGATGGGGGTGAGAAATAATCAGACGGCGTTCTGGTGCTCAGAAAGCAGAGAAGAAAGCCACCTTGCAGTGATCTGGTTTCTGACAATCTATCTGGTATCAATGGCATAAACTCAAGGACCCACCAGGTCTGGGTTCAAATCCTGACCTGGCTGCTTGCCACTTGGGCCAGGGCTGTAGGCTACACTTCAGTTTCCTTACCTGCAACACGGCGGTGATATGAGCGCCTTGCAGGGCTGTCCCAGAGTTTAAAGTGAATGTGCATGAATGGGTGCCTAGAGACTACTGATCACTTCAATAGCTACTGAATGCCTACCAGGCACCAGGTACCATGAAACTGGTTTGATTCCTCTGCTCTACTGGACAGCTGTCCAGTGCTGGCTGCAGGGCTGTGCACAATAGCTCCTGGCCATCTTGTGCCAAGGCCTTGTCGGGGCCCAGCATCTGGAGGGTCTCGGGTCATCGTAGCAGGCACCTCCTGAGGGAGGGGGTTGCTGCTTGTGTCAGCGGTGGTGCGGTTTTGGGGGACTCCCATCCCGAGATCAGAGCGCCTCCCTGCCACTCAGAGCATGTGGGCACCATCCGTTCAGGAGTTTGGGAAGTGGCTGGGGCTGGCCCTGGGAGAACCAGCTGGTGCTCAGCAGCCCTGTCCCAATGTCCTAAGTGAACAGGTGTCAGGCTGCAGAGGAGGTGAGGGACCAAATAGTTGGTCAGGCTTTTGACATCACTAATTCTTGCAACCATCCTGACAGCCATCCATCCATCATCCAACCATCCAGGGGATGACAGCATGAGTTTCCTCATTGGTAAAATGAGGATAATTATAGCACCTACGTCTGAGGGTTGTTGCTATGCCGGTTCAGTGAGTTCATGTATGTAAAAGTGCTTGGGACAGAGTCTGGCGAGTTCTAGTGCTGTCATCCATGAACAAACGTCTACTGCGTGTGAGGCAACAAATTGGGTGTGAGAGGTTCGTGGTGGACAGGAACGGGTTTGGTCCTTGTCCCCCAGGAAGTCACAGATGAGCCACTTGAGGTCACGGAGGACTTTCTCGGGACCCCACAGCCAGTATACGGTTGAGCTGGGATCTGAACCCCAGGCTGGACTCGGAAGCCAGGGCTCTTCCCATGCCACGTGCTAGTCATCCAGGGGGCAGCATGGAGAAGAGATGAACCATGGGGAGAGAGAGGCAGGGGCAGGCAGGGGGCTGGACGAGCGAGAAGAGCTGAGAGGAGAGAGTACACAGTGGCTAAGGTGACTGGTTCAGACTGTGGACATCAGACAGGGTCCATTGCGACACAGACTCCAAAGCAAATGGCCATTGTGCTATCATGATCCGCCCCCCCCCCCCAACCCCAGGAAATGCTGCATTTGCTGCCACGGTCCCCAACGGAGCTGTGGTGCTTCTGACTCCGGGCAGGAGACGGGCTGGCTGCCCTGCCAGGTGCCGCCTCTTGCGTGGCAGCCCAGGTGCGACGCATCCTTGTGCACGTCGCGCTGCCTTTCTCCAATCCTCCCCACAATTCTATCCAACAGCGCCAAGGGGTGATGGTTCAAAGGAGGACGTCGAGGCCTCCCCAGACGCCTCCATCTCTTCTGCTGTGGCGAGGACTGGGGAGGGATGGAGCTTAACTAGTAGGCCTTTTTGGTTTACATTCTTCATAAGAATTTTGAAAAATTTTAAAAATATGCCCACAGACCAAAGAGGCCAGTGATGGGGCTGGCACTATGGTGTAGTGGGTAAAGCTGCCGTCTGCAGCACTGGCATTCCATGTGGGCACCGGTTCGAGTCCCTGTTGTTCCACTTTCAATCCAGCTCCCTACTGATGAGCCTGGGAAAGCAGTAGAAGGTGGCCCAAGTCCTTGGGCTCTGCATCTGTGTGGGAGACTGGGAAGAAGCACCTGGCTCCTGGCTTTGTCCTAACCCAGCTCTGGTTGTGGTGGCCATTTGGTGAGTGAATCAGCGGATGGAAGATCTCTCTTTCTTTCTCTGCCTCTCCTTCTCTGTCATTCTGGCTCCAGTCCACCCCAGGGGCCCTTGGACGGTCCTGCTGTTCTGCTGAGAGCTGTTTCTGACACTCTTCAGACCTGTGCCCTGGCTGAGATGCTGTTGTCGCGGGCTGCTGCACAGGGCACGGCTTCTGTCTTTTACTGGCAAGGTTTGGCCGACTCTCCGTGAGCGTGCCCTCCCCTCCCACCCCCTTGCTATTTTCTTTGGCACCCAAAGAGGACCACATTGTTTCTGGAAGCCGAGAGAGGGCCTTACGGATTCGGATTCGGGGAACGCCGGGTGGGAAGCAGACGCAGGGAAGGTGTTGCTGGCCCAGCTGCTGGCGGCTTGCCCCGCCCCTTTGAAGCTACCCACAGAGCGGGCTTTGTAGGCAGCAGCCCCCCCCCCGGGGGGGGGCAGAGGTGGGGTGGGGGGTGGGAGCCAGGAGCCAGGAGCCAGGAGCCAGGAGCCAGGAGCCAGGAGCCAGGAGCCAGGTGCTGGCTTCCTCATCCGTCCACACACTCCTTCCCACGGCCCTGAGCCAAGAACACAGGGACAGGAAGGGAGAGCCCCACCTGACCAGGGTACTCCAGGGTCCCGTCCCCCAGGGGAGGCTGGCAGAGACAGGGGAGGCCTTAGCCTCCTCTCTCCCATCATTCCCTGTGCTGTGCCCCAGCACCTGCCCCCCCCCCCCCCCAGGTTCTGCACCGTCAGCTGTGCTCACCTGAACCTGGAACACAGGAGCCCAGCCCTGCCCAGCCCAGCGCTCGCTCAGGGGTTGTAATCAGTTGACTGAATCGCTGATGGTTATCGGTCCCTAGTCACCTTACACGACCTCCCCTCTGCCCCCAAGATCACAGAGGTGGCTAGCAAGGGACTTGGGCGCACACCAAGCCTTCCGCATTTGGATATAGGCACACGACAGCATGTTGTACCTCAGTCTTGTTGGGGGCGCAAGCCTCCGAGACTGGCTGACGCAAGATTTGGGTAAATGCAAATATCTGTAACTATAACTAGCGATCTAACCTAGGCTTGAGAAACTGGAAGGAGGCTGATGGGAAGAAGACCTTGATGCTACCCAGAAGGGCAAATGAGAGAAAGGGTTAAACAGCCCATAATCGATTCTCTTTCCTGGGCTGTACAATGCTTTCTCTCAATTCATAACACAGGCCAAGTGCTCTGGGGAGGCCGAGCTAAGAGGCCCTTCTGCCTCCTGGGTATGGGCGGTTCAATCCAAGCGTCTGCAGGCTTTGCCGGGTCCTTGGAAATCTGAAGGGGCCAGGACACTGGCTTTGGGGTGAGCTGAGCTGGGAAGGAGGGCTGAGGAGAGTTCTGTCATCCTGAGGGGAGGGTGGGGGAGGAGTCTCACTACTGGCGCTACCACCTGCGATGTATTTAAATCCAGAAGCAAGACTTTGGCCTTCCGAGCTGGGCTGGTGCACTCAAAGGCCCACAGGGGCAGCAGGTGGCATCCAGGCCTGCCGTGGCCCTGGGTGGGGACAGTGGAAACTGGGAAAGGCACTCCAGTGGGGGCCGTTATAGCCCAACTTCCCTTGGCTACACGACCTTGTTGATTTCTGTTTCCAAGGGTGGCCCCTTACTTGGCTATAGAGAAACACAGGCAGCTCAGCCAAAATGCTTCCACAAGGTGATTGCTCTGGGCCATTTCTTTGGGATAAAGAATTTCACAAGTCTTTTTTTAAGTTCAAATGAATTAAAACATTTAAAACCACCCACAATAATTGTGCACATTTCTGGGCCACATGGGACATTTCCGTGTACTGGGCAACACAGGGTGGTCAGCATCTGCCCCCTTCTTTGGCATCACTTTGTGATCGGAGGCCTGGAGTCCTTGACTCTTGGTTGGGATGGTCGCCTCTTGCCTGCTTGGTGTTTGGAGTGGAGATGCTAAGAGTGTCAGGTTTTTCTTTTCTTATTTCAGGTGAACAGTATTCTCTTTAAGCCTTCAGGAGAAGAGCAGCATTGCTTTGCTGGGACTGGGGGCGAAGGTGCTGGTTCCAGAAGTGCCTTGGGAATCACCGTTCTAGAACTTGAAGCCAGGGTGCCTGTTTCAGAATCCCCCTCAAAGGGCAAGGGCCCGTGGGCTCAGGCATAGAGACCCTGTGCTCTCCAGATGCACCTGCAGAGTAGGGGTCCTAGGCCTCACTTCCTCTTGCTGTTAAAATGATTAAGCGACTTAATACATGGAAAGTACTGGGCACAGCCCAGGCATATAGTGAAGTGCTCATTAAGCACCATCTGTTTACATATGCTAATATGAAGCCTACCTCCTTGGCTTCCTGTCCAACACTTCAATTGTATGCCCTCCAATGCTTCTAAAATTTTTCCAAAAATGTGGAGGCCAGCATCTTTGTTCCTTTCTAGAGCTACGGTTTATTTTCTGCATGATGAAAGATGAAATTTTATTAGAAACCCGGCTCACTTGTTGTATCGTCAGTGTGAGCTGGGTAGCCTAATGCTGTCATCTTTGGTTTAAAATATGGGGACGCAGGTGAGTCTGCGTGACTTGGTAAAGGTCTTGGGCATCGGGGCACACGTAAGAACCGTGCTTGTGGAACTGTGGCAGACAGCAGGGCGGTAGAGATGGTGCCACATCCCTTGGGGACAGAGTAGGTAAATGAAATCACACGATGACATTGTTCTTCTCCAGTGGACACCCCAGAGCATGGGTCTATTAAGTCCCTTCTCCCACTCTGTAACAGACCACTGATGTCCTCCCGTTCTTATGCAAAATGCTAGACAAATCTCCTTGCTGTATCTATCTTCCAACTGGATTGCCGCCCTGAAAGTGCTTCCTATGTAGAAATTCTGGAGCCA